ACCATATCTCTTTAAAATTCTTACAATAACATAAAATGCTTTTAGTATTTTGAGTGATCATTAAATGACAGAACTCCTGTTCCACTTTGCCCGGAAGTACAGCTCACATGAGCCTGTAGAGCAGAACTGTGTAAATAAAGATTCACGTTTGACCTGAATGATGGCCAAGGATGGCAGAAAGTAATCAAGGAGCATTTGTGTCCTACTACACTATGCTGGCTCCTATGTAACTACTTTAAAAATCACTGTTCTGTCCGATTCCCTACTGATGACATTTCATCATGGACAGAGTGTCCTCAAGTGGCTGTTTCTAAGAGACCCGTCCCCAGGCCTGGTCAAGTCAATGGGCATCCTTCTCAGTTCTATCAGTCAGAAAGAACCTAACGGCTCATGAAGTACATAAATCCAGTCTAGCTTCATATCTTAAGGTCCTTTAAGACTTCCAAACAAAATCCATTTTTAGAACTGTCAGCAGAATGCTCCATTCCCAGCTACTAGGTCTGCTGCTAAGAGGCAAACCAGCTACCTTGATAGCTGTGCAGAGGAGACATCCTGAAGCTCGGGGAGCCTAGGCTGAGTCCTTACTTGTAGAAAACAACCCCTGCTCTTGCTTGGCTCGGGGGCACATATGCTGGGAGAGGCTTCATGACTCTGGCAGTTCCTGCTCTCCAGCTGCCATGAAAGGTCAGGCCTGCCTTGGGAAGTGGAGCCAATAATAGATCCTGTTCCTCTGAGAGCCTTGGTCCCCAGAGAAGGCTATTCTGGGAGGGAATACATAGTTTACAGCATCCAGGCAATGGGGGCTAGAGTGTTGGTTGATGATATCTGAGTGCCAACACAGGAACTGTGTCCCATTTCTGTTAAGTATCATTAATATCTTACATAGTGCCTAGTACATAATGGGATCCCAGTGGGTGCTTTTTGAGGAAATAAATAATATTTAGTTAATCCAAAAATAAAAGATATCATCTAAATATTCAATACATTTTTTTGCACAGAATGGTTCTTTTTTTTTTTTTTTTTGAGACAGAATCTCACTCTATCACCTTGGATAGTGTGCCGTGGCATTATAGCTCACAGCACCCTCAAATTCTTGGGCTCAAGCTGTCCTCTTGCCTCAGCCTGCTGTGTAGCCGGGAGTATACGTGCCAGGGAACCTGCCTAGTTTTTCTATTTTTAGTAGAGACAGGGTCTCACTCTTGTCCAGGATGCGCTCAAACTCCTGAGCTCAAGCAATGCACCTGCTTTGGCCTCCCAGAGTGCTAGGATTACAGGTGTGAGCACCATGCCCAGCCTTGCACAGAGTTCTTAATATAGTTGATCACAGAGACCGCTTCCTTGTTCTAGTTGTTAGCACAACCAGGCCTGTTATTAATGTGGCTATACAGCCTTTTGCCTGGTACAGTGTTGGCACACTCTGGACGTTTACTCACCTCAAGTGACAGCCACAGGAAGTGGTTTACCTGCTGATGTACACATCAGGAGAGGTCTCAAAACTTCTCTCTGTTGTATTTTTTTCCTAAGTAGGTTTTTAAATTCAAAACATGTGACTTGAATTAGATATTCGACAAACCAACAGTAATAGCTGTCCTCTTTGTTCTTTTGTATCTGAGGATAGAGTTCCAATATTATTATTAGGGTTAAAGCCATAAGAGTTATTTTGTTTTTTTTTGTAGATGATTTCAGAAATAGATCAGGGAACAATAACCATGAAACGCTCTTCAGAGGGTTAAACGTGAATTTGCGATCACCTTCAGTTATGGGGGCACATGTAGGCATGTGTAAATTGTAGCTTTTAACATAATTTTCAAGTGATTATAGTCTTACTGGATCTTGCTGAGGATGTTTCCTTTTGCATCTTGATTCGGATATACTTATTAGGCTTCCTGAGACCAGAGACAGGCAAACGTTCTCCGTAACGGGCTTGATACTACATATTTTATGCTTTGCGGGTCACATGATCTTTGATCTCTTCTGGGATTATTCAACTCAGTAGCAAGAGGGTGGCCATAGACGATAGGTAAATGAATGAATGAATGAATATGACTGTGTTCCAATAAAACTTTATAGAAATGGATTTACTGGAATATTATATAATTTATATCCCTTAAAATGTTACCCTTCTTTGGTATTTTTCTACTGTTTAAAAATGTAAAAGCATTCTTAGCTCCTGGGATACTCAAAACAGGAGGCAAGCCAGGTGGACCTGCGGGTGGTGGTTGGCTGACCCCATCTAAGGATGCCTCAATAACACTACTGTTGATTCTCACGCTTACTTCACCTTGGTAGCTAATTGATCCCATTCAGACCTGTCCATGATAAGTTCTATCACCTAAAGCCAAGCGCTTACTGGCACTGTTTTTAGCTGTCACCATCAGCTGGCCCTGTCAGTTACACACCTGAAATTTCCCTCTCCCTCTCCTCCTTCTGGAATAGGGGAAAGAGATTATGCTTCAGGATATGGAACCTGGCATCTCAGAGGCCACCAAAGGATCATACAACCCAGAAGCACAGAGAGGTGGACTCCTGTGGGACAGACTTGGACTAATAGGAAACAGGATGGGAAGAAGTCTAACTTCTTTTCCTTGCTCTTATGGTAGCACGGTTTCTTTCTTTCTTTCTTTCTTTTTTTTTTTTTTTTGGCTGGGGCTGGGTTTGAACCCACCACCTCCGGCATATGGGGCCGGCTCCCTACTCCTTGGAGCCACAGGGGCCGCCCAATAGCATGGTTTCTTTTACAACCTTCTGTGAGACATCACTCCAGCTGAGAGCTTGTACCTGCTGAGTGGAGTGTCATACCCAGCAATGGTATGCGTCTCCTATCATTTGCTTCCTCCGACTTCCTACCTCACTTTCCTCTGTCTGTACTCCTGTTGTCTCAGATTTGCACCTCCCAGGGAAAGCATCAGCATTTAATTCCTGCCTCAAACTCATTCTCTAGGCAACCCAGCTAAGACACTCTTCAGAATTCACATACACGTTCACCAAAATTTCTCAGTAAGAAAAAAAGGCTACCAGTCACCATGCTCAAAATACACTGCTGTGATTCCAGATTCACCTAGAGCCAGGTAGCTGATGTAAATGAATCAGACTCTAGGAGTGCTGATGAACTGGAGACCCTGTGTCATCTAAAGAGGGCAGATAAAATATAGCTCCCCCAATGATATTGTCAGGCAAAATAGGGGTTCAGCATTCCCAGATCTTTCAATTTTCAAGAGCAACTGACAGTCTGAAATTTGGTGTGAATTTTCCTTAGTTGTAAATATTGGAAACGAACTTTAAAAATTTAAACCTACATGTGGAGTTAAACATGCCAATCGAACTGTGTGCTTCAGGCAAGCTCTGGCTTGAAGTGTGAGGAGAGGAAGCATACATCGAAATGAGAATAAAATGCAAGAGAAGCAATCAGGGACAACTAAGGAGCGTGTCGCCGAGGGATAAGCGTGTCTCAGGCATGGCTCCTCTCTTGTCACGTCCCAAGAAAGGAGCAGAGCACTGAACACAGGACAGTCTTCTGAGTTTAAGGCCCTGTTCTGTTTCTCAAATTGCAAAAACTTGATCTGTATTTTTTGGACAAGGAATGTACTTCCAGTCATGGGGTGGTGTTTATGACCCAGATCCAGATAGGAAACAACCACTGACATCATCTTTTCCAATCTTATACCCACTGGTTTGACTCTTCTCTGTAACATTCTCAAGAAGAATCTTATTTGCTTGAAGAACTTTGCTCAGAACTACCCAAAGCATTTTATTTTATGTTTACATTTTATGGATGTGAATATTATATTTGGTTTACATTTATTTCTCCTAATTTAGTTCTTTGACTTTATGTTTATCCCAGGGTAACACACGTCACATTTTCCCGAGTCTACTTAGAAGTGCCTTAGGATTGAGAACGGTTAGCCTGTCTCATAAAATATTTTTTTCTCTTAGCCTAAACATTCCTGATTTCTTCAACTATTCTTCCTAAGACATGATTTCAAGTCTTTTCAAAATTCTGTCAATCTTGGCTAGACATGCTTCTGATTGTCTTAAATCTGTTTGGATTTGGAAACATAAAGTAAATAAATGTTATAGTTAACACCTGACTAGTGCAGAGTAAAATCGAATTATCAGTTTCTGCATTCAAGATATTAAATATTAATTAATTCAGTCTAATACTGTATTAGCTTTTCAGGTCACAACCTTCCACAACTGATACTTATTATACATACTGCATAGGAATTAATTATGTACATTCTTTGGAATTTGTACATTTTTCTGAATTCAGTTCATCTCTGCTCTGTTTCTAGCTATATTTCCCCCTTGCTCCATTTTTACTATCTAGTTATTTTATTCCATCTCACATACTTTTAGGAGTGAGTTGGAGGATGAAGAAGGCATCAGTTACTATAACCAATAATTTTTATTTCTCAGAGTTACAGGGAATAATGTTATTTTCTTCAAGGCAGCCTGAATTAGAGATTCAGATTTCAGTATCCCTTTGGCAACCTACTATTTATACTATTATCTGTTTATAACAGCAAGTCCTGTGGAGATGTCTGCTAGATAACACATTGCTTGTTTAATTATATATTATGTAAACATGTGCATGTAGACATGAATATAGATGTCCAAACATATAAAATGAACATAGACTCCTTGAAACATTAAACTCAGAATTCTCTAGGTTTCCACCTGTCATTTTCATTGCTTCAGAGTGAGTGTTTATTGCCATCTGTTTCTGTCCTATTCTTCACCTTCACAATTATATTTTCATAAAAATGCCATTGGAAATCTCAACAGTCCCATCTTGCTTATATTAAATCATCTGGTTAATAACAAGGTCAACCCCAGCACCAGGAGAATTGATGAGTTCTCTTCTAGAATTCAGATAATATTAGGGTTTGACCAGAGAAGCAGAACCACTAGCCGGGCCTAAAGCATTACAGAGATCTGAATCCCCACAATTGCAGGAGCTGGCTCAACAGTTGACATGTGGCTGTTGTTTCCATGTCCAGCTCTGGAACCTGAACTCAGGAGGAATGGCAATCCAGAAGAAAAAACAGCTGGGTGCAGCAGCTCGTGTCTGTAATCTCAGCACTCTGGGAGGCTGAGGTGGGTGGATTACTTGAGCCCAAAACCAGCCTGAGCAAGAACAAGAGCCTGTCTCTAAAAATAGCCAGATGTTGTGGTGGGCACCTGTGGTGCCAACTACTTGGGAAGCTGAGACAAGAGGATTGCTTAAGCCCACGAGTATGAGGTTGCCATAAGCTGCGATGCCATGGCATTCTACCTAGGGTGACAAAGTGAGACTCTGTCTCAAAAAAAAAAGGAAAACAGACATGAAGTGTGGGAGAAAAAAGAAATTAGAATTCAGGAGAACAGGCTGGAACTTACAAGGGTAAACCAGAACCTCATCAGTCCCTGCCTTGAAGCCTCAACTTCAGTGATGTGAGTGACCTGCAGGAGAAGGTAGCATGCTTCATCACATTGCTAGATATGCACCTGACCCAGGAACCTGGGTACCTCAGGGAAGGGATCTGGGGAAAGCTGCAGGAGCTGCGTTCCTGGCCTCTGTCCAGTGTTGCCGAGATGAGCCAGAGAACAGCAGTCACGTGCATTAGCCACAGCAGTGTGGGTGCCCTGCACCTGTGCCTGGAGTACTCTTCAGAGCTTTAAACGAATGTGTTTGAATTTTTCCCTCAGCTTTCCCAGTGCCACCAATAGGCTTCTTGAGGCCCATGCTAATCTGAAATCATGCAGGGATGGTTATCTAGGAACCATAGTTTCTGCTTAGCTAAACTGATACAGCACAAACCTACAATAGGAATTCCTTTTCCCTGGAGACAGTCTGAATTCAGTTGCATGGTTTTTCATCCTGTCTTAAATCTTTGCTTCCCTTGGCCCACTCTCCAGTTCTGTCCCTGGAACAGCAGGTATAATGGCTTATTCCTTGGCTTTGCAGTCACAGATTGAGAAAGAGATCATGCTTGGAGAATGGGAGAGCAATGCCATGCTGGAATCGCAGCTTTTCCCAGATGTGCTTGTTTCCCCTCTGCCCCCTCGGGGCCGCAGCATGGTTCTCATGGTAGTTCCCAAGCAAACCGCCCTTACTTCCTGGCTTTCTCTAATCAGGGTGGCAGGGGGATGTGTCCACCTCTACAGCAGCCTTCCTGTGTTGACAACACTGTTTGTTCTTCCCATCTCCCTGGGGAGAAGTCGCCTTATCTTTTCTGTGCAATGGATTTGGGAAAAACACATTTTTCTCTCTTGAAGGAATTGATTATTGTGCTTCTCAAGACTAAAAAAAGTCATTCTAGACCTAAACACTGGCATTTAAAAAATAACCTAAATTCCTTCTACATAGCAAGAGAAAGGGCTATTTTGGTGGTGATTGGCAGGACAGTTTGAATCACTCCATGCACTGAAATGAGGTATTTGAGTGTGTGTGGGCGAGAGAAAAACAGAGACAAAGACAAAGAGACAGGTACAGAGAAACAGAAAGACAGAAGTAATTTGAAGTGTTTTCCAATCTCCTGACCTAAATTTCTTGTTTGGACAGCTTCCTTGATCTTACAGTGCCAGAAATATGAGGAAGATTGCTTGCCCATATGTAAAAAATAGTCTAGGAATTTGTCGAGATTCATTAAGGAGCTCAAGGTTTTGATGATACATTTTAATAACCACTTAAAAGCAACTGAAAGTCACAATTATTTCTCTACAAGAATTATTTGTGCACAGGGATCCTAAGCTTGTTTCATTGGCTTGTGACAATGCCTTTTGTGGGAAAAAAAAAAAGATTTTAAAAATATATTTGCAATGGCCAGTAAATTCGTGATTAAATCTGTGTTTGGCAGGTGGGTTTCCATCTTCCCTTTCATTTGTAACAGAGGGCAACAAAGAACTCTGGGAATTTCCTCTTAATGACACAATTAATTTAGAAGAAGGTGGGGCTAGCTCTGGATCTTTCACTGATTAGAGTAATGCATTGTTTTCCTCCAAAAACTGCATGTATTGTGAATTAAGGCTGCGTGTATATTTTCACTTTTGAGCGAGTGTTGGAGAAACACAATCAGTAGGGTACTTGTGTGCACAGATGTGTTTGTTGTACACGCATGTGTGTTTAGTGTTTTATTGTGTATGGAAATCTTTCCTGGTCTTGATATTAATTAAATAGGCATTTATGGAATTATTTACTATGGTAAAAGCATTAGACTCTATTTAGAACTAGAGATAATTCCTTTAAGGATTTCCTGAATGGCTGGGCGTGGTGGCTCACGCTTACAATCCTAGCACTCTGGGAGGCCTAGGCAGGTGTGTCACTTGAGCTCAGGAGTCCAAAACCAGCCGGAGCAAGAGTGAGACCCTGTCTCTACTGAAAACAGAAAAACTAGCCATGTGTTATGATGCACACCTATTGTACCAGCTACTGAGGAGGCTGAGAAAAGAGTATCATTTGCACCCAAGAGCTTGAGGTCACTGTGAGCTATGATGCCATGGCACTCTACCCTGGGTAACAGTGAGATTCTATCTCAGAAAAAAAAAAAAAAAAGAAAGAAAAGAAAAGAATTTCCTATATTACCTGGTGAGAGAGTCATGCACTTATCAAAAAAAAAAAAAAAAAAAAAAGCAGAAATAAAGAACTAATTGTTGCAAATAGGGGTAAATACAATGTGTATTGAGAATTCAGAGAAAAAGGGAATTAATTCTCTGATTTGTGGAATGGGAGGAAGTTTTCTCAATGTCAGGTTGAGCTGAGTTGAACCTTGAAGGATAAACAGAAAGGACATAAGCAAAGAATAAATTTACTGAAAGAACCATGAATCCTGACGTTGACTGGACCAAGATCTCGTGTTCCCTTTTTTGATATTCATTTTTTGTTGTTTTTTTTCAACTTTTAGAACATGCTGGAATCCCACATAGGGACATTTTTGTCTGCTAAGCTACAGATCAGAGCCCATAATGACAGCTGGCAAATATTGAGTCCTTATTCTCCACCAAACATTTTATGAGGACTTTCACATTTAACCTTTAAAATGAAACATCAAGGAAGATACTATAATTATGTCTGTTTGAGGCTTCAAAAGATTAGTTTACTTGCAAAAGATATGGTGAGTAGGTGACGGAACAAGGATTCAAAGCTAGACAATCTAAATCTTAGACTGGACTCTAAGATATGCTCTAAGATTATTTCCTTAACGGAGATCTTCCCAGCCTACTATTCTAATGGAAGGAGGTCTGAAATTTGCTCTGCCTCAAGTGATGCCAGCTCCCTTGCCGCCCAGACACTCCTGTGTCCTGGGTGTGGCTGTGTGTAGTACAGTGAGTCACCTGTCCTTACTCATCCCTCCAAGGTTTTCATGATCCCTGGGGCCCCTTTCTCCCAAAGTGCTACTATGCCAGAAGAACTTAATTCTTTCTCTAGCTCTTCCCTTCAAAGCCACCTGTGTTATTCTTCTGAAGTACATCAGGAATCATTTGAGATTAATACTCCAGTTCTTTTTCTTTCAAGTTTTATTTTCAACTAGCAGAAATATACACTATCAAGAATCCACAAACCACAATGAACACTCTTCATGTTGTGCCTGAGAATGATGTCTTGGGATACGTCATAATTCCAGAGAGATCTTCTAAGATGCTGTTTCAAAATAACACAAACTGCCTTTCCAAAGTTGTATTTTCTAGAAAGTCAGTTATCTCACAATGAAACTTGCCAAAGTCTCAAATGTTAATTTGCTGTGACACAGCGTTCTTCTTATTCTGTATCGTGGATCCTGCATATATAAAGAAAAAGCATGAAACTGATACCTAGCAATCCACGTTCAAGTCCTGACGGGGCTAACATGGGGCTAACATCTTCAAAATATAATCAGAATCTAAGTTAGTCTTTCCCCAAAGCCTATACTTTGGAAAGACTAAGCACTGTATTTTTCAAAAATCCCAAGCAGGAAATGGGTTTTCTCTTCCTGTTGAGAAAAATCCTTGTTAATGAACTCAGGATAATCCAACTCCATCTGAGCCTGGTGGACTCAGGCTTCAATATTTCTCCTTACTTAATAACACTGGCTACCATGGCTTGTGCACCTGGCCATATATTTTACTTCCTCTGACTTAAGCTGCCCATTTTTCTTGCAGGTGGAAAATTTCTGGTCTTACAATTTTTGACCAGCTAATTAAGTGCAGGGCCTAATTTCATTTGCAAGCAGCCACCTGCAGACATAAATTGTCAGCTTAACACTGCATATGGAGGGAGATAGCCAAAGCTTCTAATACTGTCCTGTTTTCCCTATGGATGTTGAATTATTTAGAACATTATAGGTATGTTGCAAGTACTTGATTTGTGTACATAAAAATGGGGAATATGGAACAGAAGACAGAGAAAGGCAATAATGCTTGTTCCAGCCTTGCAATAAAACTCAAACCCTTTGAAAATACATTCTCAAAGTCATTACAGATAGATGCTCTCTCTGTAGCATCCTAGTTATAATCTCCTCCTTAAAGAACTTTGGAGCCAAGTTATATACTTAAAGATTGCCCTCAGCTCACATAGTATTGAACAAGCCAGGGCTGGTTTAAGCAGTGTGCTTGTCTGTTTAGTTTCTTGCTAAGTCATTTAGAATGAAGCTAGTTCAATAAATATGAAGTGAGACAAAATAAAGGAAATGATGAAATTCCTTTATTTGGAATTTTCCTGTGCTCTATTTTTTAAGAAAAAACTTGACCCACTTTGAAAAAAAATAAAAACCTCATTGATTTAACTTTTATGGACTGAGGTATAATACTAACTGAAGTTTTTTTTTTTTATTTTTTAATTTTTTTTATTTTGAGACAGAGTCTCAAGCTGTCGCCCTGTTTAGAGTGCTGTGACATCACAGATCACAGCAACTTCAAACTCTTGGGCTTAAGTGATTCTCTTGCCTCAGCCTCCCAAATAGCTGGGACTACAGGGACTACAGCTGGGACTATCTGGCTATCTGTTGTTGTTGTTGTTGTTGCAGTTTTCATTGTTGTTTAGCTGTCCTGGGTCAGATTCAAACCTACTAGCCTCGGTGTATGTGGCCGGCGCCCTAC